TAACGGAGCCTACGAGTTTTTGTTAAGTTTTTGTGTTGTGAAGTTTTCAAGTTTTTGGTAAAGATTCGATGGACTATGGAATAAGGAGTGGCAAGAGCCTAAGCCTGGGGATGCTCATGGCACCCCAAGGTAATATTAAAGGACAACCAAGAGCCTAAGCTTGGGGATGCCTCGTAAGGCATCCCCTCTTTCTCCTTCGTCTATCGGTAACTTTACTTGGAGCTATATTTTTATTCACCACATGATATGTGTTTTGCTTGGAGCGTCATTTTATTTTCTTTTGTTTTGCTTGCTGTTTGAATAAAATACCAAGATCTGAAATTCTTAAATGTTAGAGAGTCTTCACATAATTGTATAATTATTCGACTACTCATTGATCTTCACTTCTATCTTTCGGAGTAGTTTGTCATTTGCTATAGTGCTTCACTTATATCCTTTTAGAGCACGGCGGTGGTTTTTTTTATATAAATAATTGATCTCTCATGCTCCACTTATATTATTTTGAGAGTCCTTTAGAATAGCATGGTAATTTTCTTTTGATATAATAAAAAACTTTCATATAAGTGCATTGAATACTATGAGAAGTTTGATACTTGATAATTGTTTTGAGATATGGAGATGGTGATATTAGAGTCATGCTAGTTGAGTAGTTGTGAATTTGAGGAATACTTGTGTTGAATTTTGTGATTCTCATAGCATGCACGTATGGTGAACCGTTATGTGACGAAGTCGGAGCATGATTTATTTATTGATTGTCTTCCTTATGAGTGGCGGTCGGGGACGAGCGATGGTCTTTTCCTACCAATCTACCCCCTAGGAGCATGCGCGTAGTACTTTGTTTCGATTACTAATAGATTTTTGCAATAAGTATGTGAGTTCTTTATGACTAATGATGAGTCCATGGATTATACGCACTCTCACCCTTCCACCATTGCTCTCCTCTCTAATACCGTGCACCTTTAGCCGGTATCATACACCCACCATATATCTTCCTCAAAACAGCCACCATACCTACCTATCATGGCATTTCCATAGCCATTCCGAGATATATTGCCATGCAACTTACCACCGTTCCATTTATTATGACACGCTCCATCATTGTCATGTTGCTTTGCACAGTCATGTAGTTGACATTGTATTTGTGGCAAATCCACCATTCATAATTCTTCCATACATGTCACTCATGAGTCATTGCACATCCCGGTACACCGCCGGAGGCATTCACATAGAGTCATATTTTGTTCTAAGTATTGAGTTATAATTGTTGAGTTGTAAGTAAATAAAAGTATGATGGTCATCATTATTAGAGCATTGTCCCATGTGAGGAAAGGATGAGGAGACTATGATTCCCCCACAAGTTGGGATGAGACTCCGGACGAAAAAAATAATAAAAAATAAAAGGCCATAAAAAAGAGAAGGCCCAAAAAAACAAAAAAAGAGAAAAAGAGAGAAGGGGCAATGCTACTATCCTTTTTCCACACTTGTGCTTCAAAGTAGCACCATGATCTTCATGATAGAGAGTCTCCTATGTTGTCACTTTCATATACTAGTGGGAATCTTTCATTATAGAACTTGGCTTGTATATTTCAATGATGGGCTTTCTCAAAATGCCCCAGGTCTTCGTGAGCAAGCGAGTTGGATGCACACCCACTTAGTTTCTTTTTGAGTTTTCATACACTTATAGCTCTAGTGCATCCGTTGCATGGCAATCCCTACTCACTCACATTGATATCTATTAATGGGCATCTCCATAGCCCGTTGATACGCCTAGTTGATGTGATACTATCTTCTCCCTTTTTGTCTTCTCCACAACCACCATTCTATTCCACCTATAGTGCTATGTTCATGGCTCACGCTCATGTATTGCGTGAAAATTGAAAAAGTTTGAGAACATCAAAAGTATGAAACAATTGCTTGGCTTGTCATCGGGGTTGTGCATGATTTAAATATTTTGTGTGGTGAAGATAGAGCATAGCCAGACTATATGATTTTGTAGGGATAGCTTTCTTTGGCCATGTTATTTTGAGAAGACATAATTGCTTGGTTAGTATGCTTGAAGTATTATTATTTTTATGTCAATATTAAACTTTTGTCTTGAATCTTATGGATCTGTATATTCTTGCCACAATAAAGATAACTACATGGATAAATATGTTAGGTAGCATTCCACATCAAAAATTCTGTTTTTATCATTTACCTACTCGAGGACGAGCAGTAATTAAGCTTGGGGATGCTGATACGTCTCCAGCGTATCTATAATTTTTGATTGTTCCATGCTATTATATTATCAACCTTGGATGTTTAATATGCATTTATATGCTATTTTATATGATTATTGGGACTAACCTATTAACCTAGAGCCCAGTGCCAGTTTCTGTTTTTTCCTTGTTTTAGAGTATCGCAGAAAAGAAAAATCAAACGGAGTCCAATTGACCTGAAACTTCACGAAACTTATTTTTAGACCAGAAGAAGCCCACGGAGTATCGGAGATGGACCAGAAGAGTCTCGGGCTGCCCACGAGGGTGGGGGGCGCCCCCCCTGGGCGTGCCCCCCTGCCTCGTGGACAGCCCGGAGATCCACCGACGTACTTCTTCCTCCTATATATACCCATATACCCTAAAAACTTCGGGGAGCACAATAGATCGGGAGTTCAGCCGCCAGAAGCCTTCGTAGCCACCAAAAACCAATCTAGACCCGTTCTGGCACCCTGCCGGAGGGGAATCCCTCTCAGGTGGCCATCTTCATCATCCCGGTGCTCTTCATGACGGGGAGGGAGTAGTTGTACCTCAGGGCTGAGGGTATGTACCAGTAGCTATGTGTTTGATCTCTCTCTCTCATGTTCTTGAGGTGGTACGATCTTGACGTATCGCGAGATTTGCTATTATAGTTGGATGTTATGATGTTTCTCCCACTCTACTCTCTTGTGATGAATTGAGTTTTTCCTTTGAAGTTATCTTATCAGATTGAGTCTTTAAGGATTTGAGAACACTTGATGTATGTCTTGCATGGGATACCTGTGGTGACAATGGGGTATTCTATTGATCCACTTGATGTATGTTTTGGTGATCAACTTGCGGGTTCCGCCCATGAACCTATGCATAGAGGTTGGCACACGTTTTCGTCTTGACTCTTCGGTAGAAACTTTGGGGCACTCTTTGAAGTACTTTGTGTTGGTTTGAATAGATGAATCTGAGATTGTGTGATGCATATCGTATAATCATACCCACGGATACTTGAGGTGACATTGGAGTATCTAGGTGACATTAGGGTTTTGGTTGATTTGTGTCTTAAGGTGTTATTCTAGTACGAACTCTATGATAGATTGAACGGAAAGAATAGCTTCATGTTATTTTACTACGGACTCTTGAATAGATCGATCAGAAACGATAACTTTGAGGTGGTTTCGTACCCTACCATAATCTCTTTGTTTGTTCTCCGCTATTAGTGACTTTGGAGTGACTCTTTGTTGCATGTTGAGGGATAGTTATATTATCCAATTATGTTACTATTGTTGAGAGAATTTGCACTAGCGAAAGTATGAACCCTAGGCCTTGTTTCAACTCATTGCAATACCTTTTGTGCTCACTTTTATCATTAGTTACCTTGTTGTTTTTATATTTTTAGATTACAAAAACCTATATTTACCATCCATACTGCACTTGTATCACCATCTCTTCGCCGAACTAGTGCACCTATACAATTTACCATTGTATTGGGTGTGTTGGGGACACAAGAGACTTTTTGTTATTTGGTTGCAGGGTTGCTTGAGAGAGATCATCTTCATCCTACGCCTTCCACGGATTGATAAACCTTAGGTCATCCATTTAAGGGAAATTTGCTACTGTCTTACAAACCTCTGCACTTAGAGGCCCAACAACGTCTACAGGAAGAAGGTTGTGTGGTAGACATCACCCGTGAGCACTTGATTGCAGAAGCACCTACAACCCTGCAACATTTCTACATAGCGCGCTATAGGAGCCTTGAAGAGAATTCCGAGGAACTGCCCCATCGACTTTGATCTTTGTTGTACCGATTGGTGGAGAAATCCATCTTATACTGTGTCGCATGACCGACTGAGGATTTTAGTGAGACTCTTTTGGCTTACACTCCTCGAGCTCTTTCATATACCTCATGAGAAAATGATGGGTAGAAGCCGGGCTTTGAAAGACATTTTCATGCATTGCCTTGCCTTGTGCGTGTCATATTGCTCATAGTGTTACCAGCACCGTTACAAAGTCAGAGTGGGGGAACGAGTTCATGAGGCTGAAGATGAATCTTTTGGCATCTGATTCTGTGATGCTCATCACAACTTCGACCAAGTCTTGGTCTTGGGCCCATATAGATCTGGTGAGGTTGCATTCGATGAAGGAATGCCGCCATGACTCAGTGTTTCAACAGATCCCACAAGTTGAACTGGCGCCTATATGGCGATGGTTAAGAAGATCAGAAGTCGGGTGGATCAGAAGTCGGGTGGACTTATGAGAGAGCGGCCACAATAACATTTTAATTATTATTTTTTGTGTTGAGGGTGTAACATCTTAATTTTCGATGGTACATCAACGGTCCACATCTTAGTCCATGATTTCAACCCGCTCGATCAAGAAAAAAGGAAAACACGACACTAAAGATAGCCCGGGCGCAGGGCAATTATGCACCCAACACGTCTCCCTGGACCGACCTCTCGTTTCAACAAGGCCGGTTTAGAAACCCCACGGCCCCTCTTCCTTTCTCCGCTCACCTGCTCAACGGCCACGTACGCGTAACGTATAACCTCTCCATTCTATCTGCCCCTCCTCCGTCCCCCACGACGCGCGACGCAGCTGCTTCACTCGCCTCCGCTCTGCGTACATAACCACCACCCCGCGCGCCGCACGGCCGGCTCGCAACTCGCAACGCCAGTTGCGCGGCGTCTCAAACTCAAACCCGACTCGATCCTCTGCAGGGTGGCCAAGAAAATCAAGGTCGAGCCGAGCGAGCGATCTCGAGCCCTCCCTCGACCGATGCATCCGCTCGTGGGGGCGCTGCTGGTGGGGGCCGGGGAGCGGTGGTGGTGGCCGTGCTGGGGCCCGGCGGCGCGCCACGCCGCGGCGTGGGCCGGCGCGCTGGCGCTGGCCGTGTCGGTGGCGTCGTTCGCGCCGGAGGCCGCGTTCGTGTGGGCGCTGGCCAGCGGCGGGTGCGCGGCCGGGTCGGTGCGCGTGCCGCTCGACGGCGGCGGCGACCACGTCTGCGTGCCGGCGAGGATGGCCGGCCGGACCTGCGCCGACATCATCGTGCCGCCGGTGTTCGCGGCGCTCTCCGTCGGCGCCTCCGCGTGCTTCGTCCGGACGATCGCCATCGGCCGCCGCCACGGCTACTAGCCATCATTGGAGCAAGCCCGTGTCCTTCCCCTCTGCTGTGCGACGCACGCCTCCGCTTCTGAACACGTATTATGTCCCGGCTTCATTTTCTCTCAGTCATAGATGATGTTCATTTTTTTTGGGTACATTGATGATACTCGGTGGTTAATCTGAAATATAGTCACAATACCCCGATCCCTCAATCGGATCAAGGAAATGCGCACAAAATGCAATTATCCAGGGCATGTTCTTATCATACAGAAAAATGTTCATGTCGATGTCGTTATCACTGTGCTGTGCATTTGTCAAACCTGCTTTACTAATCCTAATACTAGTAAGTAAGCTACCACGCAATGTACATCTCACTCAAACTGAGCAGTACATGGTTGGTGATCTAATCAAGAATCTCCAACCCCATCGCCTCCAAATCCATCCAGCGATTAAGGAGTAGGTCTGATCATTCTCACCAGTCACACATATCCACAACAGAGTAGTCTGACAGAGCTTCTTCACCCTCACCTAGTAAGCATGGGTTCTGTGAGGACGCCTTCCTGATCCCGTCAAGCTCCTCGGCGACCTCTCGCATGGAGGGCCTCCTCTCGCCGGACATCTCCAGGCACAGCTTCGCGAGCTTGGCCACCCGCTCCAGCGTCTCCGCCCCCACCTCGCTCTTGATCCGCGCGTCCAGCAGGCCGTCCAGCCTGCCGTCCCTCGCCGCCGTGAGGAAGCTCGCGACGACGCTCTTCTCGTCGTCGGGGGCGGCGAGGTTCAGCGCCTTCCGCGACGTGAGCAGCTCCAGGAGCACCACGCCGAAGCTGTACACGTCGCTCTTCTCCGTCAGCCGGCACGTCTGCATGTACTCCGGGTCCAGGTACCCGCACGTCCCCTGCACGAACGTCACCAGGTGCGCCTCGTCCGTCGGCGCCGGCGCCAGCGACGACGCCCCGAAGTCGGACACCTTGGCGCCGTAGTTCTCGTCGAGGAGGATGTTGGGGGACTTGACGTCGCCGTGGATGATCGGCGGCGACGCCATCGAGTGCAGGTACGCCAGCGCCTCGGCCGTCTCGTGCGCGATCCTCAGGCGCACCGCGAACGGCACGACGGCGGCGCCGCCGTGGAGGAGCTGGTAGAGGGTGCCGTTGGGGATGAACTGGTAGACGAGCATGGGCACCTCCACCTCGAGGCAGCACCCGTAGAGCTTCACGATGTTCTTGTGGTTGATCTGGGCGAGGATGAGCGTCTCCATGCCGAACTCCCGCTGCTGCCGCTCGTCCTCGCCGGCGATCCTGCACCGCTTGATCGCCACCGCCGTGCCGTCCTGGAGCGTGCCGCGGTACACGGTGCCGTTGCCGCCCTTGCCCAGCACGTGCCGCTCGTCGAAGTTGCCGGTGGCCTCCTGCAGCTCCTGCTTGGTGAAGAGCGTGAAGGACATTCCCTGCTTGTTGGACTTCTTCATCTCCTCGAACAGCAGCTGGCCGCCGTGCTGCCGGAAGTGCCGCGTCTTGACGACGGCGACCCGCCGCTTCTCTTGGATGGCGTAGGTGCAGGTCATGCCTAGTGCCAGCATGACCACGCCGATGCTAAAACCTGTACAAATGAAGAAGAAGAAAATCATTTCCTGGTTTTATTGTCTAATTGATTGCTGAAATAATACTTATATTGTTTTGTGCCGACATTTTTTCCCTGGAATGAGATGAAATTCAGATGGAGATGGCAATTTCAATCACACCTATTGCGATTTGCAATTTAGTTATAGATCTATCCGCTTCGCATGTTCCATCAGAATAGCCTCGCTTTTGTGCAGGGCATGGGCATTTGTACCCTCCGATCGTGTTGATGCAGGAATCACGAATGGCACATGGGTACGACGCCTTCTCCTCACACTCGTTAATATCTGCCAAGGCAAAGACCAAGAGTTGGTTTGATGAAATACGTACCAAATTAAATATCCGTGTAAAGTATAAAACATAACCTTTGTATTTTTTTTCATTTGTTAACGGCGACAAAATGGAATACACAGGAAAACCGATAAGAAATACGCAGGAAAAAAAAGAGAAAAAAAAACTCAAGTCAGCGGCACTACAGCGAAATCACTAATTAGGGAGTACTCGTTACAAAGAACACTTCACTTTTCAGGTCGCGAGAAGTGGCACACATGCAGCGCGCCACTTGTCGCAACCTGGGAGTTTTCTCTTTTTTCGTAAATTCGTTTATTCAAAACGTTTTATCTTTTAAACCCTGCGTCCAAATCTCGAGCCGTTTTTCCATTGAATTCCTCGCGTCGAGATCTTCAAAAATAGATCCCATGTTAATAGGTTTTGACGAACTTTTTTTTTCACGAAAAAACAGATGAAAAAAACCGAGCGAAAAAACCGACCGGGAGCATGTTTTTTCCATTTTCGAAAGAGGCACACCCGTGCCTCTCGCGAAATCACACCCGTGCATCTCGTGGAAGCAAAACCGTGACTCTCGTGCAAGGAAAAAAACAGAAAACACGTTTTTTTTTCTGTTTCCAAGAGGCACGGCCGTGACTCTCGTGAAAGTACAACCGTGACTCTCACAAAAGAAAAAAAACAGAAAACGCGTATTTTTTCCCTTTCTGAGAGGCACGGCCGTGACTCTCGCGAAAGCACAACCGTGCCTCTCGCAGAAGCAAAATCGTGACTCTCGCGAAAGAAAAAAAAACCAGAAAACGCGTTTTGTTTTTCCCTTTTCGAGAGGCACGGTCGTGACTCTCGCGAAAGCACAACCGTGCCTCTCGCAAAAGCAAAACCGTGACTCTCGCGAAAGAAAAAAAAACCAGAAAACGCGTTTTGTTTTTCCCTTTCCGAGAGGCACGGTCGTGACTCTCGCGAAAGCACAAACGTGCCTCTCGCGGAAGCAAAACTGTGACTCTCACGAAAGAAAAAAATAGAAAATGCATTTTTTTTCGTTTCCGAAAGGCACGGCCGTGACTCTCGCTAAAGCACAACCATGCCTCTCGCGAAAAAATCCGTGACTTTCACGAAAGAAAAAAAAACGTGTTTTTTTCGCGCAAAAAAACATTTTCCCTAATTTTTTTATCGAAAAGTTAAGAAAGACCGGGGGAAAACCAAAATGTCGAAAAAACCCGGAAAAAACCGTTTAAAAACCAAAAACGCGTGCGGGAAAAAAACTGAAGGGAGCGTCCAGAGCGCGACACGTGACGAATGTTTGAGAGCGCGCCAAGTGGCGCTGATCGTTGCGAGGCTCCCGAAGGAGCGCTCGTTAACTAGTTGTTCCCGCACTACAGTGCCTCACCAGGTATTGTTGTGCACGGGGAAAAACACAGGTATCCCGGCCCAATACCAGGGACAGAAAGGCGGGACCTCCTAAGTGGCGCCTTTAGCGCCACTTGCAGAACGGGCGCACATTGCGCCTCCTTGCTGGGCCGGCCCATGTAAGCCGAGCGATCCATTCCCCCCTCTGGTCGCTGGAGCGGCTAGTTCTCGAAAGAAACAATGGTCACTCGAGCACAGTTTGACCGGTCATCGACTTTTTAAAAATAAAGAGAAAAAACAAATCATGAATTGGAAAAATGTTCACGGCTTTTGAAAATAATTAACAAATTTCAAAAAAGTTCATGAATTTGAAGAAAAACATTGAACTTGAAAAAAAGTTCATCGAATCGAAAAAAGTTCATCGAATTCGGAAAAAGTTCATTGACTTTTAAGAAAAAGTTCATTGATTTCAAAAAAAGTTCATCGAATCTGAAAAAGGTTCACTGAAATTGAAAAAAGTTCATGGATTTTCGAAGAAGTTCATCAAATTTGGAAAAAGGTTCATAAAAATGAAAAAAAAAGTTCATCTAATATGAAAAAAAGTTCATCCTTTTCTATAAAAGTTCACTGAATTTGAAAATAAGTTCATCAACTTTCAAAATAGTTCATCGAATTTGAAAAAGCAATTCATTGATTTTTAAGAAAATGTTCATCAAATTTCAAAATTAGTTCATATAATTTGAATGAATGTTCATCAAATTTAGAAAAAGTTCACGGATTTTGAAAAATAGAAAAATAAAAAATTAGAAATGTAAAGGAAAAAGGGAAAGGGAGAAATAGAGAAAAGAGAAAGAAGAAGAAGAATAACAAAACTAAAAGTTGTAGTTAAGCACGTAGGTATGTGTAGTGGGGTGGCTACCATAGCTAACTCACAGCGAGGAGGTCGTGGGTTCGAAATCTATGCCTCGCATGTTTTCTGCAGCAGTTTAAATAGTACTCCCTCCGTTTCTAAATATTTGTCTTTTTAGAGATTTCAAATAGACTACCACATACGGATGTATATAGACATATTTTAGAGTGTAGATTCACTCATTTTGCTCCGTATGTAGACATATTTTAGAGTGTAGATTCACTCATTTTGCTCCGTATGTAGTCATTTGTTGAAATCTCTAGAAAGACAAGTATTTAGGAACGGAGGGAGTAAAAAGGAATGGGATCTAGGCCGGCTCGCGAAGAAACCGACGCTTAAGGCGCCGTTTAGGGATTGCCCAGAAAGGCAGCACGTGCTGACCTCTCCCAGGGAGTTCTGGAGGGCTGTTTGGTTAAGGCCCAACGAAGGGAAATTGTGGCCCTCCTTAGCCGAATGGCAAGAATACACGAGTCACAACTTGTGGGAGAAGTTTCCCCCCAAATGGCGATGCTGAATTTCCCTGAGATTTTCAATATGTCAGGAATTTTCAGTCTCGGACAACTCTACCCTGAGTACATCTCCCTCAGCTAGTCTTGGTCATGGGCAGCCCGGCCCGACCGGGCCCGAAAAAGCCCGACGCCGCTCCCAGGCCAGGCTCAGGCCTAGATTTTGAGCCCGAAGGCCGGGCCCGGGACCATCATTTTCGTGTTTTTCTAAAGGACGGGCCAGGCCGGCCCGAAGCCCGACGGGCTTTTACGTGTTCGGGCCAGGCTCAGGCCCAGAAAATAGGCCCGACAGCCCGGCCGGGCTTGGGTTTGGTTTTTTTGCGTCGGGCTTGGCTAGGCCCGGCCCGGCCCGGCCCGAGGTATGGCCAGGTATACCCCCAGCAACCAAAACAAAGGCCTAAGCAAGCTAGAAAGGAACACTCGCATCAAATGCTACACAGTAACATGCCAGCCCAATAGAGTGCACTTGAAAAAAATAAACAAGGAGAAAAAGGGGGAGAATCCTATTCGCCGCTCACTGCGGCGAACTGTCGAGCGATCGCACAGGGGCAGCGCAGCTAGCGACAGAAATGGGTCGGCCCACACATAATGCATCCAAACCAGTTTTAGGAACCTCCTAGAAGGTTCCCTGAACCGGGTTTTTTCCTGTATCATTTTTTCTGGTTCTTTTTCGGATTTATATTGTTTTTTATTTCTCTTTTTTTTGTTTCTGTTCCTTTTTCATTTTTTTGTTTTTTGTTTCACTTTCTTTTTCAAGTTTATTTTTCTTTTTCAGAATATGTTCGCAGTTTTACAAAATGTTTATGATTTCCTTTTTTATTTCTTTTTCTTTTCTTCTCTTCCTCTAAAAAATAAAAAATTTAAATTTCGTTCGTGTTTCCAAAAAATGTTCTCAAAATTCAAAAAATTGTTCTCGTTACACAAAAGAGTACAAAACTTCTGAAATTCAGAAAATGTACTGAATTTCTATTTTTTGTTCACATATTCAAAACATGTTTGCGCTTCCAAATTTGTTTGGGATTTTTCAAAATTTCTCTCTGTTTCAAAATATGTTCTCAAGATTCAATAAATGTTCGTGCTTTAAAAACTTGTTCGCACTTCCAAATTTGTTTGGAGTTTTTCAAAAGTTCTCTCCGTTTCAAAATATGTTCTTAAGATTCAAAAAATTCTTGTGCTTTAAAAAAGTGTTCATGCTTCCAAATTTGTTCAGGATTTTTTAAAATTGTTCACTGTTTCAAAATTTGTTCTCAAGATTCAAAAAATGTTTGGGAATTGAAAAAAATGTTCCAGCTTCCCAAATTTGTTCACAAATTCAATAATAGTTCATGTTTTTCAATTTTGTTCCCAAATTAAAAAAATGTTCTGGAAGTTTTAAAAATGTAAGCATTTTTATCTTTTGTTCAGAAATTCAAGAAATGTTCCCCTTTTTCAAATTTGTTCACATCATCAAAATGTTCCTGTTTTAGAAAATTTGTAAAAAATTTCGGAAAATGTTTTTATTTTGAAGAAAATATTCATAATTTTGAAAAATTCAGTTGTGGGAGGTTGTCGGTTCGACCCAATAAATAGACTATAGTCTTTAATTGTCGCGCTGCTAATTGAACATCAGAACGTCTACATCGCAGTGGTTTGCACGGCAGCCGGCCTATAGGAGCTCCCGAAAAAGGGAGAGGGCAGGTCGACCCAGGATTCAAACCTGGGTCTCCTCGATGAAGTTAAGCTAACCACTAGGTTAGCACCGCGTTAGTGATGAATACCAGGGCGTGCTCTATTTATAGAAAAAGAGTCGTGTTTTCTCTGGGTTTTTCAGTTTTTTTGTTTTCTTTTGTTTTTCTCTCCTCCGTATTTTTTTGTTTCTTCAGTTTTTTTGTTTTCGTTATTTTTTTGTTTTTCAGTCTACATTCTTATATAGATGATCAATATTTTTTAATACATTTTATTTGAAATACCTGTTCAATATTTTTATATATACTTGTTCAACATTTTTTCTAATACTTGGTCAATATTTTTTCAATATTTTTCAATACCTTTTCAACATTATTATTTACATGATCAACATTTTTTCAAAGACTTGTTCAACATTTTTCAAATACTTGTTCAACATTTTTTATATACTTGTTCAACATTTTTCAATTGTTTTTCAAAGAGTGTTTTTGTAATATATATTTACAATATTTTAAAGTATAAACAAAAGTACAAAAATAAAAGCAAAAATGAAAACATAAAACATTAAAAAAAGCAGGAAAAAGAGGTTGTGGCCTCCAGCGCTCGTAGGCCGGCCCAGCTCGCTCGCCCCTTCAGCGAATCCGAAGCCAGACTCGCCGAAGGCAAGATATAGGCGTGCCCCTCACTACGACGTCCTATCCCGCGATACCCACATCATTCTCCCAACTCCCATTCGGCTCTTAACTGCTGGTTGTAGTGCAAATTTCACAAACTTTTTTAAATTTGTTTTTACCCTTACATATTTTATGAACTTTCCTTAAATTCCTGTAATTTTTCCAAAAAATCGAATATTTTCAAATTACAAAATTTTCCTAATCTTGTGAACTTTTAGTTTAATTTGTGATTTTTCTTTCATTTTGCGATTTTTTAAAAATTACAAACTTTTTAAGTCGTGAACTTTCTTCATGGATTTTTCCAAATTTATGAATATTCTTTCCAAATTACATAAGTTTTTTTTAGAATTTTCAAAATCTTCTTTTTTTTCCTTCTGTAAATTCAACGTTCAACTCACCATGGTTGCCGGTCAAATGTAGCAGGTCTGCTAGTTAACCGATTTAAAACAAAACGCAGTTGGTCCGGCCCATACTCTCCCACACGTTGGTGCCAGCTATCTTAGCTGGCGCCCAAGGCGCCAATTAAGAACTATCCGTGAGCCTACCGAACGCGCACTGGGTTGGTGATACGGTACCATGAAGTTAGAGAGTTTTCTATCCTCGTAGATCCAATTATTCAGATATGATGAGTTCATGTTGGTGTGTCAGGCTTTTTGTGTTGGTTTGATTCTTGGTAGAGGTTAAATCTTTCTTCGACACCATGGTAAAGATATCGTGATTTGATGACCTGCACTTCTAAGGGATCATCCCAGCCCAAGCATGTTCATCCATCAAGACTTCCCATCTTTTTTGATGTGCGACTCAAGACGTTTTCAAAAACTATTATTGGCAAGTGAAAGAGGGACAACATTATTGCTTAAGTCTAATTACAACCTCTTTATCGAAGTCTTTGAAGTATTTATTCTAGTAGAGATTGATACCACGAAGAAGGACAACATTCATGTAGTATTATTGGCAAGTGAAAGAGGGACAACTTCATTCTTTGTTATAGGGGTTAGTTTTTATTTCCTTCGATCTTAGATTCAAATCAATGTACATATAATTATTATGAGTATAAATAAAACTACATGTGTTTCTAAAAGAAAACTGTTTTTTCAGTCGTTTGTTGGAATGGAGCAGGCTACTGTAGGTGTGCTGGGTCGACCTTTTTGAGTAGTTTTTTTCCTAAAAACCAGCTATTGTAAGAATTTATAAAATGTTCAACAATTTAAAATATGTTCTTGAATTACAAAATGTTCGTGGATCTATATAAAATAGCAAAATAAGTTCTAGAATTTTAAAAATGTGCACAATTTGTTAAAGTAATAGAATTTTATAAAAAATATTCATGAACTTTAAAACATCTTTAGAATTTAAAAAATGCCCGCGAATTTAAAACCACCATGAATTTTAAATTGTGTTACATAATTTATTTATTTTCACAAATTTATAGAAAACCATGAATTAAAAAAATCTATTTTTTATGAATTTTAAAACTGGTCTTGGTTTTCACAAACTTTTCATTTATTTAAAAATAACAAATTAGAAGAGGGAAAACAGGAAAACAGAAAAAATGAAGAACTAAAGTAAACCAATAAAATAAAAAGGGGAAACAAAGGGAAAAAAAGACTAGACGAATAAACTTCTAGTACTTTTCAAAAATCAGAGAGAATTACAAAAAACATGTACTGCATAGGTCCAATAGGGTGCGACAGGGTGAGTGTTTGGTGTACACCTATCACATTAGGCACATAATATAAGAAATATGGGCCTCACCTCCGCTCAAGATGTAGGGGTGTAGAGCAGCGTCCCGCATAGACCCGTTGAAGCGCTGAATTAGCACAACTTTGCCTAACGCCATCACAGCCTAGCTAGAACTAACTTTGTCTAATTTGTGTATAAAGCGGGACGGGTTCGGGCACTGCCTTGCATCCCTAGCAAAATGTGAGATCCATGGATGTTTATATCGCTTAGCTGGAACACAATTGATCCAATCGAACTTAGTTCTTTTTTTTTCACTTAGTCGGAACCCAACGGAACCTTAAAACTTACTTGGGTATCAGCTCAGGATTTCTAACTACAATATCACTCCTTATGCTTTCATTTTTGTGGGGGACGATGCATGCACCAGATGCGAGTGAGACATTCCTACCATCTGTACAAGTAAATACGAGTATGTGCAAGGGGAAGTTCTCACGACGAGGAGGACCGATGACATGGGTGGGTCTTCGACACTGGTGCATGAGTGTGGGTACGGTACATGCACTATGTGTTGATGAGGACAACTAGTGACATTATAAGTCCGCAAAATTACAAGTGGTGCAGAGGGGTGCTTGCTAGTGCAACGTGCTAGAGTATGATGACAATGCACATCGCCTTGGGGCATTCGAAAATTTGTTTGTCTTTTACAGTGTATGAATAATTTAGTTTTTTTCTCCTTTCACTTTGCACGGGCATATTTGGTAGTGTAAGAAATAAGTAATGTGCCGCAAAATTGATATGATTCGAGGCATTCTCAAAACATAAATTTCCTTTGTAATCACAAAAAAGGGGAAACACATAGATTTCCTTTGTAATCACAAAAAAAGGGAAACACATAGATTCCCGCAAGACAGTCAATGGATCAAAAGATAAATCAAAACTGGTGAGAAACTAACCTTGGCAGCCATGGATGACGTAAGGGTTTCCTTGGTACCCTTTGGAGCAGTTACAGAGGTAGCCCGGGCCGTTCTTGGCGTCGACGCACTCGCTGTTGGCACTCGCGCAGGCGTACGCGCCCGTCTTCTTCCGCCGCACATCCCGGCACGTCTGGTTGCCCACCGCCCAGTCCAGCACCGCCGGCACCTGAACGCCGCCGGCGTCCCCGAGCGCGCCGGTGGTGACGTAGGTCGCCCGGAACTCGAACGCCGCCGCCTCGACCAGCACGGCGTAGCTGCACGGGCTGAAGCCGGCGACAGCGGAGTTGTTGTAGGCGTCGTCGAAGGCCACGTCGAAGGAGCTGATCCCGGGGGGCACCGGCGTGAGGCAGCATCCTGTGCCGTTGCACGGGCCGTCGGACAGCGACGCCGCGCTGGCGCACTCGGCGTGGCACCCCACCACGTACCGGTTCTCCACGGCGCCGTCCTGCGACCCGATGTAGGCGAGCGCGCTGCACCCGACGACGGCGAGCTTGTTATCCGCGTCGGAGACGCGGAGCGCCGTCGAGTTGAAGGACCACGTGTCCGGCGCGCCCATGGACCGCCTCGCGCCGTCGTAGCACCACGAGCTGACCGGGCTGCGGATGCGTATCTTGCCGCGGCCCGGGTCAATGCCGAGCACCTCGAAGCCGTCGGCGAAGGGCCGGGCGTCGTCGGAAGCGGTGGCTTTGCGGCAGGTGACCTCGAAGGTCCTGTCCCCCGTGTCGAGGAAGCAGCCGCGGCCGATGCCGAACGGGTACGGGATGTCCACCCCGCCGCACCTCCGCTGGCACGCCGGCGCCGCGGCCAACGGCTGCCATGCTGGGATCGAGAGGAGCACCGTGGTGGTAACTAGTGGAAGCAGCATGTGCATTTCCATTTGCCTGGACTGGAAGGACACGATGGACTCACTCAGCTCTGTCGGCGGTGGTTATTCCGCGCCTAAAATATATAGTCCGGGGGAATAATTCTTACGTGCCAGCCCCAGAGATCGGCGTTACAGTGGAGAAAAAGAATGCCACCTGCATAAAGAAACTACGATTCTCTCGCAAAATCTCCCGCACGTTTAAAGTCACCATGTACGGAATTGATTAATCCACCGTGCCCATCACACGGTAACTAAGGTCACGTACACGCCAGTCATGCTTTGGTTTACTAATGTATAATGTCTCACCATAATACTAATCAAGTAGCCATGCACACTCTATTTTATATCTAAGCGATCGAGGAGGTGGTTAGTAGGAGTAGTGTTCGATCCTCCAGCAAGAAATCAGTGTCCAGGATGCATGGTTCTCCACCATGATTGCGGCCACTGCCAGCTCCAAAAGCTTCTGAGTTTTCAGACTTCTTTCCCTTCCCTTTTCGAGTTTTATATTTTCGAGATATTCCTTTTGGGGTTAAAGCCATGTTAGCCAGCGACCAAGGGGCCGGCCATATGCTTAGAGAAATGAAATATTGTTTGCACATTATTGTTGTTGTTGATCAAAGTTAGTGAGACCATGATGTACAGTGCGTGAGTGGCGCTTTGGCAATATAAATGGAAATCAGCATGTGGCTACTCAAGTGCTGTTCATACACCCTGTGTTTATTCTTTTTTGGCGAACCACCCTGTGTTTACTTAATTCAGTGGCCTAGCAAAGTGGACTGCAGCCTTTTCTGTATGGGAAAAGATTCTAGGAAGAAAAACTTTGGTCACTTAATCTGTTGGATGTGCAAAAAAGGAATCACACACACGTTAACCATACACGTGATGCAAAGATTTTTGCATAGTTTGACTTGTGGTGACACGGCCAATTTTACCATTTTTTATATATCTGTCATACCAAATTGAGTGCTCAAAACATTTAAAAGTTTGACTTTATTTATTTTTCTTTCAAAAAAGACAAAATTGTAACGAATGTGATGCAGTGATAGTATTGTGAGACAGTCTTAAATTTTTGAGTGAAAGCATATGATACGGGGCAAACTCTAACTCCAAAGAAAGAGATGAAACAAGAGATAGTTCTTTCCCCAAGTCTTGAGACAAGGATGGTTTGAATTCCACAAGAGGAATCTTCACCCGTAGGTGGCCTTGATACTCCCATGAGTCTTCTCTCTCAGGAGGCCTTCATCCTTAATAGCGATTTAAACTCTCGCGACATCAGAGCACCCAAGTGCCTAGCCCCCGCGGTGACCCAAAGTTTGGCCTCATCCTTAGTAAGCTTTAGAATGTAGAATGGTGTCGTCGGTTGTCTTTTAGAACACTCTCACATTCGTCTCGTTCCAAATCACCCAAGCGCCATGCATGGCGAGGGTGGCCATGGCCTTACGGTGAGGCGTGTTGGTTCTTGACATGTTGGTCCGCCACTTCATGATACAACACTCAATCGCCCATTGATCCATATTCCTCCACACTCGCAACGTCAAACACCCCTGTGTCTCTTTCATTGCATGCATAGCCCACAATCAGGCCATCCCCATTTGTTGTTGGCCCATAGTCTGATACCTATTTGGCAGCGCTAGCCAGGCGAATAACTTGACCTTGGGGGGAGCCCAATCCTTCCAAACCGTCTTCTTCATGGTGGTCAACATGGAGCCTAGGAATTGTGCCTTGTATGCAGACGTCGCCGAGTACTCGCCGTTGGTCTCAAATTTCAACAAGATGTTATCTTCCGCATCCGAATGAAGATGGGAGTGCTCCAGGCGGACCCGAAGGTCCACAAACTCGATGATGTGGCTCAAAGTGAGCTCCACGGAAGGGTTGACCTTTCTCACCCAAGTGTTGTCCCTCATGGCCTCAGACACAGCCCACCATTTGCGCTTGCACGCCACAATGATGAGAGGAGCAACATCCTACGGCCACTTTCCTTGCAACCAGGGAGCGTACTAGAATGGTGTTTTTGTACCATTGACAATTATTATTGTGGTGGAGGCATAGAACTGATCCATATCAACCTTGTTGCATGGGTTTACCAGCCCAACCCACAATTTAGTAGGGTCCTTCCGTTCCAACCAAGGCCAACGGAATCTGAGAGCCCGAGCAAATTTCTCCAGATGAAGGATACCCAGCCCAACGAGGTGGGTGGGGTGGCAGACGATTTCTCAATTGACTTTGCACTTTGCTCCAATAGTAGTCTCTTTGGCCGACCAAAGGAAAGCACGCTCAATCTTGTT